TGCTCTTAACTCTTTTAACTATTTCTATACATTCATTCAACATCATGAAACATTCTCTAATCTTATACAGACATTCCCTGAGGTTTTCGCTCTTCTCCATTCCTGGCCAAGGCAGGTGAATGCTATTACCTTCAGGTCTATCGCCTTGTGCTTCACTTTGGAAGCTCTCATATATTCATGTGCTCATATTATTCTTCTATCATATATCACGTGTGCATATGATCATCCAATTCATATCATATAACATATATATCTCCTAAATCATTCTCAAGTATTCACTTATCTTATATAACATAACAATTTAATTCTATTAACAAGACATCACACTCCTTACCCTATCAGATCAGAAATTTTCACTCTATGTTGGCATGTACACATTTTTAAAACTCATTTGACTTCAGTTTAAGCCTAGAATCGACTAAACCTTAGCTCTGATACCATTAAATGTAACACCCTCAACCCATATCCGACCCGAATACGAGTCTGAGGTGTCACATTGACTTTTCAACCTTTGACTCTTGACAAAATTCAAAGAAAATTCAAAACTTTCATTAAAATAAAAGTTGCTTATTTACATAAATTGACCAAAATAACCAAAAATCGATCAGAGCCTATACAACTCACTCAATTAGTACTTGCCAACTATATTCAGATTAACCATACACATTTAAATCATCTATTTTCTGATTTGAAACTTTGTAAGGAAAAGGCTGACCTGTCTTGCTCCTCTTAGCTCTTTACTCTTCTCACTTCTGTAACCTACGTGTGAAACAATCACACGCTAAGTCGTTGACTTAGTGAGGCAATAAACATATAATGTAAACATTTACTAGTAATCATTTCTTACAACTCATATACTGTTATATGTAACAAATACATACATACATATATGTCATTATCATTCATATCTCTTATATCCTGTTCCTATGATCTTTTATGTCCATATTATATATCTGATAGACTTGTTATTATATCATCATATCAATCAATTATACTCATTCACATATACCTTAACATGCATTCACGTATACCATATAACATATATATATATATATATCATGTTAGGTAAAACATATATACTATCGTAAATCAAACACACAAGCAACTATATCATCATCTTCATTCTTATCACTATCATTGATTCCTTTTATCATATAATCTTATAATTACCATTTGTACCATCATATATCACACATAACATTTATAAGGAAACAAACATATCATCATATCCAGTTTATTATTATCTCTTTATTAACCCATGGTACACATGTGAGAACTGTAGATACGTGAGTCTATTGAGGTTGTGCACCACTATGCTATCACCACAGCTCGTATAAATGTCCCGAAGGACCTATCCAGAGGTCACAAAGACCCCGGTAACTATCCAGAGGTCATAAAGAACCTCGGCAACTGTCCATAGGTCCCAAAGAACCTAGGTAAACTGTCCATATGTTCCTTAGAACATAGGTATATTGTCCATATGTCTCGAAAGACATAGGTAAAACCCTCGACTCTTGGCATGCCAACTATACCCCTATCTCTCATATCACATAACATGGGTATTATCATTTATAACATTTCATATCACTTGTTATTTCTCTTCTGTCACATACCACATGTATGTGTAACCATATATCTCATATCATATCACATGTATCACAAGTGCATGTATTCACGTAGATCGTTTCATATGACTTATATCATTTCTCATTACATATATCACATCACATATGTTCATGGGTATATCCCATAGCATATAAAATAACATATAAACTTATATATGTATTCATGTGTATACTTTCATCTAGCCTATATATCAATGTCATATAACTTATCTCATAACTTATTTGATATTCATATATATTCTCATCTTAGAACTTATATTACCTATGAGCTATTCTTATATTACCCAATATCAACCATACTTTGTTTATCTCACTTTTCATATCATTCATTTATCTCACTTTTCATATCATTCATTTATCACACATATGTCACTTTGATTATAACACTTCTCTGGTTTTCATATGACATGTAAATCATTGTCATCTCTTGTTCTCATATAATTTCATATAGTCACTTATCACTTATCACATAGTTTACATCCTTTGATCATAGAATCATATCAATAACAAATATACTCATGCACACATATAAATCATAGCAAACACATACCTCTATGAATTCATGCATTTTACTATTGGAAATAGACTTATCATAAGTCTTATTTTCCAGTTAACATCATATACTAAATAATGTGCACTCACCTTGGCCTCACTAAGTTTCAATCCACTTTATGATTTCCTCTCTTCCGATCGAATCTTAACTTGATACACAACCTGTAACTTGTTCGTGTTCGATATCTACATAATTAGACATTGATACATATCAGTGTCCCATTGTTATAATCTAATCTATCATTTCTTAGACCAGAAGAAATGTCTATTTCAATTTCCCCTTGAAGTGCATCGATGCATGCTACAGTGCATCGATGCATTCTTTAACATGTGCATCGATGCACTACCCATGCATCGATAAACAAATTACCTTCGATGTTTTCATTTTAAAGGGATGCATCGATGCACTCCTTATGCATCGATGCACCATTTGCATTCGATGTTTCTTCTTTAAAGAGTGCATCGATGCACATTCAATGTGCATCGATAAACCTTGCCCAGAATTTGCATTTTAAGCCCGAAAATCCATTTAATTCAACTCAAATGCTTCATATTTCATCCCCTTTCATATTCCTTACTTACATATACATATTTGCCATCATTTCTACTCAATAATCACTTCTTTAACCTCCATATCCTATTCTCCTTAAGAAATTCAAGAATCATACTCAAATTTTAACATGTTACAAATCCAATTCTAATACTTCATACATGTTAATTAGATTGATGACAAGTCAAATTCACTCTAAAACCTCATTAAAGAACCCTCTTTCAAGATTTCACTTATTCATCTCTTTTCTTTAATCCCCTCTATTCTCTTCATCTTATTGTTTTAAGATAATTTAAGCTCTTCTTATGCTTAATTATCACCTAATAATCAAAACTCAACCTTAAATTTCAGCTAATAATCAACAAATAAAGAAACTCACCTTTGCCTAGCTTGAGCACGTTGGAGAAGAAGAAAGCAAATGAAAGAAGAAGTTTTCATCTTCCTCTCCCCACGTGTTAATCTCCTAATAAAGGGGAGAAAATATCTTTCCTTGTCAATTGACCATTTTACCCTTTACTTCATTTAATAATTACCAACAACTTTTATGATTTATTTCCAAATAAATCATTGAACTAATCCATGGTTCTACTCTAGTCACCAAATTCTGAAACTTTACAATTTGATCACTAATCCGGTATTGAGGATGTTACAAATTGAGTCCAACGCGAAATCTAACATAAATAACCTAAATTAGCACTACAAAATTAAATAACACGATTAAATTTATAATAAATTATTAACCAAATAAAACACTCATCAATCACTGAAATCATTTGGTTTATACTAAAAAAAAACTACTTTTATTTTAACTAAGTATAAGTAAAACACATAATATTTTTAAAATGGCTATTAAAGTTTTGTTAATAAATGATACCAGTTATTTGGTAAACATTAATTTCCTTTCCCCTTTATAAGTATGCGCTCAATTAAAATAATTAATTAATAATATGGATAGATTTGTGATTGTGTAAATTAATGACATTCCATAAATTTAAAATTAAATATCTAAAATTATGCATAGAATCATGACCTGAACTAGAGGCTGATGAATCAATCAATGGCATATAATAATTAAGGTTGCAGGGATTAATTCTATTAATTAGTGAATCAATTGAGGGGAGAATTAGGTTAAGATTCAATTTTAAGTAACAAAACACGTAATATAGTTACCAGATTGGTAATGATAATGAAATAATTATAAGATCAATCCATAAAATGATTTAAGTGATAAAATGAAGTATTGTTCTTTAAAGAAGTATTTGGTTTGAGTAGTAACGTCTTGTAAAATATGTTTATTTTTAATAATTAAAAAAATTAAAAAATAAATATATAAAATATAATTATTATTACTACTTTTAAGGAATATCGGTCAATATTTTTTATTATAAAATTTGTCGATTAAAGATTTAGAAAGCATTTATAAAATCAAAGGAAATTTAAAAAGTATAATTAAAGTAGGGATGGATTTTGGCTTGTTTGAATGCGACTTAATATTATATTCTTTAAATTCAACTAAAGTCTAACTTTTTTTTTTTAATTTGAAGATAGTTTAAATTTTAATTATAAATTCAATTCAATCCCATTTGACTTAATATGCTTTTAAATTTTATGTTTTTATTAAAATAAAAGTAATTAAATAAATACTAATTCATTCAATTTAATAACATAGAATAAAAGTAAATTTCAATATAACAATATGTTTTAATACCTTATTTAAAAATATATGAAATAATAATTTAATAAAGAAATATTTTTTCAAAGTGATTTTCGAGGATTAGGTATCAAAATACACTAAAGTCGAATAACAATAAATTCAAATTAAATGCTCCAGAGACTAGCCCAAAAGAAATCTATTAAGCTATATCATTCAAATAACAAGATAAAAAAGTTGAAAATTTTCATATATTATTTTATAATAATTATTAAAATTATATATGAACTTTAAATATATAATATTATATATAAATTATTTAACGTAATTATATGTTAAAAGTTTTGATATAATTTTTTTTCAAATTACTAAATTCTTTATATAACATCAAGAAATAAATAGATGTTATAGATATATGGTTATATTTATTAGAAAGCAAATGGACGTATTTATTTCTAAATATATAAAATTAAATCAAAATCGAACTTTTAAGTATATGATTAAACTAAAATCAGAAAAGGCGACTTATAACATATGAGAAGTTCAAACACAACTATAGTTCATTAAACATCACGACAAGAATCAATAACAAAGTAATATGAAATATCGAATAATCATAATTAAAAAAAGAAAAATCACCTATAAAATTTCAAAAAGAAAATTACAAAAATTATTTAACATTTCTAAAATCCACCCAAAAGCCTCCTAAATGATCATACTAAACAAGACGCTAGCAGCTAGCACCAGTACACTGGAATAAGTCTCTGTGGCAGATGACCCGTTGGGCGGGGTACTGGTTTGACTTCCGGTCGGCGAAGTTGTAGTAGAAGGAGAAATACCTTGTGGAGGTGCCGGTGGACTTAAACCCGAACCCGTAGATGGTGCCGGTGATGAACCGGCTGGAGTTGAAGAAGATGGAGAAGGAGATGTTGACGTAGGTGGGTTTGCACTAGGACCATAAGCCACCGGGGACTGCGTCGGACCGTACTGTGGTGCATGATGAGTAGATGGCGTAGGAACATGAGCCATGGGTGAGCCTGTGGGGACCGAAGAAGGCGGACTTGGAGCAACAGGGCCACGGTGCTCGGGTGACTGAGCCGGTCCCGGATATGGCGATTTCCCTGGAGGCTTAATGGGTGGTGGATGTGTGGACGGAGTACCGTGTCTATCCGCCATGACAACGGCGATCATTTTTTGACCCTTTGAACAATGATTCTCTTTGCCACTAATGAAGTAGAAAGGACCCGAATGAGGAAACTTGAACTCCGAAGTTCCATTGCTCATTTCCATCAAAGGATGCTTTCGTTCACACTTGTAGTAACCATCTTTCTTCACCAGCAAAACAGAGTCTGATCCTTTCTCATATTTAAAAGCTGCAACAACAAAAAACACGGTAAACACAAAAATCAAGAAATAATTCAACAAAAAAAATGAATCAAAACACTAAAAAGACATCAACTTACTTAGTACATCATTGACTTGGAACCTCTGTTTACCGGCCCAGTCGTTATACTTCTGTTTAGGATGCAAAACCCAGCCTTCTTTGCCACCAACATAGAAAGTATAGCAATGAGATGAACAAACAAAGCAAGCTAATAAAACTACGAAAAGTGAAAGAAACCTCTGAAATTTCATAGTTAAAAGAGACTTGTTTTCTTCTTCTTTATTTACTGTTCCTTTAGCTCAAAAGAAAGGCAAATCTTTGTGTGAGATGAACACGACTATATATAGAGATATACACGCATGAAGCTTCAAAGAAACCTCTGGAAACCCAAAGCTTTCAATTTTTGGAAATTAACAGGTTTTTGGGATTTTAATTAAGGAAGTGAAAAATGTGTGAAATTGAGGCTATATTGTTAAAGAGTAACATCACTAACACGCAGCTGGTGTTGATTCTTCAAGTCTTTTGAGGCTAAGTTTTGGACCAGTTACGTGGCAAAATAATGGAAATCATTCGACATTTATGGAGTTTAATGTACTGGACCAAATCATGTGGTATGATTTTTATATTTTATGAACATTTTTAGTGTCAACTTTAAATTTTACTTGGTCCGTTTACAAACTATATAACGTGATTGTTTGGGGAATATAAAATTGGAAAAAAATAAGAATATATAATGAATGGAAAGAAAATTATATTAACCAAAAAAGGAAAATATTTGTTTTCATTCAGATAATTTATTTTAATATTGAATCGGTTAAAAATTATAAACCCTTCATTCAAATAAAACATTAGTTCGAGTGTAACCAATAAAAAGTTACATTTCACTATTATTCTCTTCTAAAGATCAAATTTTGTCCATTTCCTATAAAATGTAACCAGCATAAGAATACAGGTTTGACAGGATAGACCACATATTAACCCTATCCATAAGCCCTGAATAAATCAGAAAAAAAAAACATAATTAGTTGAGAAAACAATGACAATAATAATCAGATTGTGATTTCTATTAGAATTGGATAAAGAAATTGTGATTCCATAGTTTCCTCACCTCAGCATAGAATTTAAACTTGAATCCGAGGAGAATCGTAATGGGCATGCCAATAAGGTAGAATGTCCCCAAGTTAGCTAATACAATCATCTTTTGCCAACCACACCCTCTTACAACCCCTGCAACATGCTTTTTCGATTAGATGCTCGAGTATATCATATTAGATAATTTAATGATTTAATTAATATAAATCTTCCTGATTTTTGTTTAAAAAAAATTAATTTACTGCTTGTAATCTAAATCCTCCATCTCTTTTATATATGTGTAGGTGAATTGTTAGATTTTCTTTTTCAAACCTGACAAGACACCTTGAATGGCATCGATGGCTATTGAGACGAGCAGCGAGGGCGTCATCTTTGCAAATTTCTTGATTATTGAATCACTATCGCTGAAGAAACCAGCCCAGATATTGTGTCCAAAGGCTAACGTGAGAACCACTGCAAGCACAAGAAGGATCGACAGCTTCAGAGCCACTGCCATGGCATGTTTTGCCTTGTTCGGATTTCCACCTCCCAATTCATTCGACACTCTTGTGCTGTTAAAAAAACGAAAGCATAGCGATTGCAATGGGATGTTATAATTTAATCGACCGTATATATACTTATATGTTACACTTACATTCGAGTCTGAATAATATAGATCGAAATTGGTGCAAAAGAGCTAACCTTGCTGCAGCACTAAGGCCATATGTGATCATGTAGGCAATGTATTCGGTATTCACACTGCAGATTATATCAAAAGAACCAAAATCCATTATGATTGAAGCTCGGTGAAAATAGATATTTAAGAAAATATATGAATGGGAAAAAGAGAGGGAAAAGCTACCATATTGCAATCAACGAAGTTGTAATTTCTGGGTTTGGCATCAAACCAGCCAAGAACACAAGTATCTCAAAAGCCCAGCACTCTAAACTGGTAAAGGATACAAGTGTGAATATTCGATGCGAATATAGATGTGTCTAATACGGATATGTTAGGGGAAAAAGGGCATTTTAATGTAAAACTCACCAAACCATTGCTGAAGAAGGAAGGGCTAATTTGAAATATTGTTTGATGTAACGAAATGAATCAGAAGACAATCCATTCCATGTGTTCTTAAATCTGTTGGCCAAAACGACATATATAGCTAACGAAAGAAACGATATCCATATCGAAATCGATGCAGCGAGGGCAGAACCTATGAAACCAAGAACTGTCTTGTTTACCAAACCATAAACAATCCCGAAATGAATACCCAACGGAATGACAGAGAATACGATCAAGGGTACAACAATGCTCTGTGTCTGAAGAAACCTCAGAATGTTTTGCAGAAAACCATAAGCAAACAAACCAGGAATCAAATACTTAATGTAACGAGCAGCCATTCTTGATATTTCAGGGTCTTGATGAAGCAAAACAAGGATCGGCTCGGTGAAGAACCATAGAATCGATATGATGATGGAGAAAAAGAAGGATATAATACAGGATGCTTGGAGGTAAATCCCCAGCATTTTGTACATCCTTGCACCAAATCCTTGACCACAAAGGGTCTCCAACGCTCCACTTAAACCAGTCTGAAAAAAAAACATCAATGGGAATTTACAAACTTTCAGACAAGAACATGAATCAGGTTTAAGTTAAGTGGTTATACCATGAAAGCAAAACCAGTGACAGTGGCCCATGAATTGGCAAGAGTTGAAGCAGCAAGCTCGACCTCACCGAGGTGGCCAGAAAACATGACAGAAACCATAGTAATTAAGTAGTAAAAAACATTGGATAACACCATTGGCACTGCAAACAAGATTTGAGTCTTAGCCTCCCCCAAATCCATAACTCTTTTCCAGAAACACCCCATTGTTTGTGGTTGAGGGTTAGCCGATCTCTCTTCTCAGTGGATCATGTTCATCGCACAATTATAAATGCTATATCATACTAGAAAATATACTTGTTTGGTATGCTTGGCGAGATCATATTTCAATTTTTAGTATGATAACTTTATCAGTGCATATTAATTAATGTAACTTTACCATAAATGAAATAATCCAATGGCCAGATCATATTCCTCCCTTTTTTTTGCCAAAAATGGTTATATTACATTCAGTGCATAATAAATGAAATGATTCATTAGTCAAATAAGTCAAATACTGCCAGATCATACACTTTTTACTCACCTTAACGTACAGATTACACTTGAATCCAACGAGGATAGCAATTGGCATGCCAATAAAATTGAAAGTCCCTAAATTAGCCATTACTGCCAAGTTTTGCCAACCACATCACCTTGCAACTCCTGCAACATGATTTTCAGTTACACTCGTATAATAGCAGCAGTTCTTGCGATTTCGGGGTCTTGGTGAAGCAAAACAAGGATCGGCTCGGTGAAGAACAATAAACACGATATGATGATCGAGAAAAAGAAGGATATAATATAGGAAGTTTGGAGGTACATCCCCAGCATTTTGTTCAAATTTATTAATCATGCATTAGTTCGAATGACATACGTATAATTTCTGAAGGGAGTTATAATTCTAGAGAAATTAAACAGAAGGTTGAGTTCCATCATTTTTCTCTTCTGAAAGGTCAATTTTTGTCCATTTTCTATAGATTGTAATCAACATAAGAGTACATGCTTGACAGGATAGATCACATATTAGGCCGATCCACAAACCCTGAATAAATCACAAACAAAAAAAATACTTAGCATAAAAAAACTACGAAACGATAATGATAAAGAATAGAGTATTATGAAATGATGTTCTCACCTTAACATGGAGCTTAAACTTAAAGCCAAGAAGGATCGCAATTGGCATTCCAATAAAGTAGAACGTCCCCAAATTAACTAATACAGCTATGTTTTGCCAACCACTTCCCCTTGCAACCCCTGCTTTTTGGATTAGGCTCGTTAATTTCAGGCATGATCTGAGAACATGAAACCAATATGATAAATTTAATGTGTGTTTCAAACCTGATAAGACGCCCTGTATGGCATCAATAGCTATTGATATAGCAAGCAATGGGGTCATCTGTGCAAATTTCTTGATTATTAAATGGCTGTCCCTGAAGAAACCAGCCCAAATATGGTGCCCCAAAGCTAAAGTTAGAACAACTACAAGAGCCAGAAGGACCGAGAGCTTGAGCGTCACTTTCATCGCTTGCTTTGCCCGGTTTGGATTTCCAGCTCCCAATTCATTTGACACTCTTGTGCTGTGAATTATATATATAATATTACATAAGAGATATAAGTAATTTAGTATATATCTAACACATATATCTAACACTTATATATGATCGAAATTGGTGCAAAAGAACTAACCTTGCTGCAGCACTAAGGCCATATGTGATCATGTTGGCAAAGTCTCCTGTATTTACACTGTAGATGATATCAAGAGAACAAGAATCCACCATGATTGCAGCTCGGGAAGAAAATATATGATGAAAATAATGGAAGAGTAAAAGCCTACCAAACTCCAATCAATGAAGTTGTAATTTCTGAATTTGGCATCAAACCAGCTAAGAACACAAGTATCTCTAAAGCCCAGAACTCCAAACTGACAAAATATTAATATACTGTTTATATTCATGTCAAATTTTGAGAAAAAAATGAAGTCGTGAATAAGAAATTATAGGAAAAAAAACTCACCAAACCATTGCTGCAGAAGGAAGGGCTAGTTTGGAGTTCCTTATGATGTAACGAAATGATTCAAATGACAATCCTTTCCATGTGTTGTTAAATTTGTTGGCCAAAACCACATACAAAGCTAACGAAATAAACGATATCCATATCGAAATTGAAGCCGCCATGGCAGCACCTTTGAAACCAAGAACTGTCTTGATTACCAAACCATAAACAACCCCGAAATGGATACCAAATGGAATGACAGAGAAAACAACCAAAGGTATAACGATGCTCTGTGTCTGAAGAAACATCAATATGTTTTCCAGAAAACCATAAGCAAACAAACCAGGAATCAAATACTTGATGTAAACAGCAGCCATTCTCGATATTTCAGGGTCTTGATGAAGCAAAACAAGGATTGGCTCCGTGAAGAACCACAAAATGGATATAATGATGGAGAAGAAGAAAGAAATAATGCAGGAAGCTTGAAGGTAAATCCCCAGCATTTTGTACATTTTTGCACCGAAACCTTGACCACAAAGAGTCTCCAACGCTCCACTTAAACCTGTCTGAGAAAACAACAATGGGAGTTCACAAAATTTTCAGACATGAACTGAACAACATGAACCAGATTAAGGTTAAGGTTAATTACCAAGAAAGCAAAACCAATGACAGTGGCCCATGAATTGGCAAGAGTTGAAGCTGAGCAAACTCGACATCACCGAGGTGTCCGGCAAACATGACAGAAACCATAGTGATTGAGAAGTAAAAAACATTGGATAAAACCATTGGCACTGCAAACAAGATCTGAACCTTAGCCTCTGCGAAATCCATGACTTTTGTCCAACACTTTCCATTGCTTCCTTCTGAACTACAGCCATTACCAGCCTCTATGTTCATTGGAGCTGCCATTGCTGTTGTATTAAAGGAAAAACTGAGGTGGATGGTGCTCCTCACATACTATACTACGTAAAGTGTTGCACCATATTTTTATATAGTATTAAGGGTGCATTTGGTTCACGTAATGTAAGATTACCAGTGAGAATAAAAGATTACCAGAGAATATGATTACTGAGAATGTTGTATTTTGTGTTTGGTTGGTTTAGCAGGAATGTAAGATTACCGTGTTTGGTTAAAGGAATAAAAGATTATTGAATGTATATTTGACCAAATTGTCCTTATTATATATTTGTATAATATTACAAATTGTAAAATATTTATATATTTTCTTTAAAAAATTAAATTCATAATATTTATATAAATTTTTTTACAAAGTTAAAAATATAAAAAAGGTTTAATGAAAGGGTAAAATTTTTTTAACCCCTGAACTTCCTATAAAATTTTAATTATAGATTTTTTTGTAAATCTAAAATAATTTAAGGATAAATTTGTAATTCAACCTTCGTAGAATTTTTATTATTTAATGACAGAAGAAGGATATTTTTGAAAAAAAAATAAAAATTTAAGCGCATTTTAGTCCAAAACGCTGGTAATGTTACAATACCTAAGGGAATGGAGGTAATGACATTGCCGGTAATATATCCCAAAAAATCTACTATTGGTAATAAAACATTACCGGGAATGAGATTCTCGGCCAACCAAACATGGGAATGTGCGATTCCCAACACAATCCTTGAACCAAATACCCCCTAAAAGAACTAAGATAAAAAAACAATTTTAATTACGAGAATTTTTTAACTTTTATCATTTCAATTTCACTCATAAATTTTAATTTTCATTCTTAATTAGTTAGTAGAATCGTTAAAATATTAATTGTTATGTAAAATTGCCTAATAATGTGATGTGATATTAATAATAATGAATGTTGAATTTAAATAAAATAATAATTTAAATTTAAAATGTAAAAATAATTATATATAAATTGAGAAGATAAAAATAAAATAAAATCTTTCAATCCCATTATAAATAATGATTTAAGAGACGTGATACAAAATTAATTGTAATATATGTCGTATTATTACATAATACACATTATTGTTTACATTCAATTAACATTTTTTTATGATTTTATTAACAAATGGCGTGATTAGTATATATTGATAGTTTGAGATAAAATTAAAATGCAATTTAGAATAAAAATGGGGATAAAATTGAAATACTTAAAAATTTGAGGACCGCTTTAGAATGATGGTCATAATTTCATTGGCTGACTATTCTAAATATAATATTACTAAGATTTATTATAAAGTTGACTCTCTTAATTTAATGGCAAAAGGGTACGTGAGTCTTTCTACTTTTAAAAGAAAATCAATATAACTCTCATCATATTTTTTGCACCTAATGTGACCCTTAAACTTAAAAAATAAGTCTCATATGATCCTTTGACTAACAGTTGTATTGTTGATCGTTAAGGTATCGATGTGACACTTTACGTTGTTGACATAGCAATTTACGATGTCGGGTGACGTAGCTGGTGATGTGGCAAATGGCTAAATTGATTTTTTGGTCGAGTTTGAGGGTCAAATTGTTTTTTTTTCTAAAATTTCATAAGATTATTTAATTTTTTCAAAAACTTATTTTAAATTTTAAATTTAAACTATACAAACATAAAAAATAAAATTTGAATTATTTAAAATATTATTGTTAAATGATTCATTCAATTTAGAGACAAAATCTAAGATTTTTTTTATTTAGCAATATAATCATATTGTTATGTTCATACATTTCAATTTTAATTTGAGTTTTATATTTTTATTTTATAGAGACATGTTTTTTATTCTTTGAAAAATTAAAAAAATGGCAAAAATGTATGTGAGATCCTCGTCATGTTATATTTACTAAAATGCTCTTAATTATATAATATTTTTTAGTTATATATTTTATGATAATTATACATAGATTTTAATTCTATAATTTTTAATTTTTAATTTTTATAAGACTTTATAATAATTATTTAATTTTATTTCATAAAAATTTAATGAAATCGAATTAGAAAGACATTCATGGACTCATAGTTTAAGATAATTAGGCATAAATATATAAAATAAAATTTATATAGGATGGACGAATTCAAGTTTATATAAATAAAATTCATATTAAATTCGAGGTAAAAATATTAATTTTTAGTAATTTAATTTATATTTAATATTTTTCAACATTTTCAACATTTTTATATTTTAAATTAGAATTATTTTTATTTTTTTAAAAACAATTAAATAAGTCCATGATCTTTTAGAAAAAAATTAATTTGATTCTCGAATTCCACAAAAAAAATCAAT